TATATATATATATATATATATATATATATATATATATATATATATATATATGTATGTATGTATACATATATTCCCCTCTTTAGGAGGCTCTCTTCTTTAGGGGTCATCACATCAAATCAAGTCGCACAAAGATTTGGCAATTACTTTTATGCCGGATGCCCTTCCTGATGCGACCACGGAGCTACCACAGCCCTCAGTGTAATGCAGAGAGCTACCATCTAGGGTGCCCGAGAGAGCAGATAGTGAGGGTTAAGGGCTTTGCTCAAGGGCCCAGAGTGGGGCTAATGAGGGTGGAGGCAAGTGTGGGTGCTTCACCTTTCCCACCCACATTTTGATGTTGTCGGTACCAGGAGTTGACCCAGTAATCTTCCGATAACAGGCCCACCTTCTCTAACCTCTGTTCCACCATGTACTCCCAACAAGGCCATAACTATAATATTCTTTTTTTTTTTTAAGGCTCATTTGTTTTCTATGAGACATAATATATTCATCAATCTATAGCATACGTGTAAATTGAATTTCTTATGTAAAACATAAGTTTGTCACTCTGGTTTACAGGTGAAATATTTGTGTTTATAGAGTTGGAGAGCTAAACACAATTTTATAAGCAATTTATTCAAGTCACCTAACTTTCTGCACTTTTTCTGCATCACTGATTACAGACAAAAAATAAAGCACTGCGTAAAAGATTTAAACCACCCTCCTCATTATTATATTTATCTACCATGAAACCAGAAGTTGTGGTATTTTACAATGACCATAATCAATAGTTCACCTTAAAAACATAGTTGGACTTTAGCTGCATTATCATAAATTTTCTAACCAGTTCTTGTATCCCATATCCTGATGCATGCTCAATAATCCAGGTAGAAAAAAAAAAAAAGTTCAATCTGGTCCTCTGGACATTCAAAAAAACAAAAAACAAAGCAAAAAAATATAGAAACGTTTCGTCTCTCATCCGAGAGACTTCCTCACTCTGAGGTGCTGTTTTCAGCTCAGTCTCTTAAATAGCACCTTCTCAGAGTGGATCAACCAGTTTGCTGCTGACAACCAAAACCAGCTGATCACATGCTCAAGAAGGACCATCAGCCTAACAATGGGTCATTAGCACACTGATGGCTGTTTACTACTCACAGAGGGCTGAGTGATACTAGCAATCACAGCATTGTAAGAGGGGGACAATTGAACACGTAGGCCTCCACCCCTGTTTAACAATGGACGATTTCTTTTCACAAAGATGGCCTCCTTTACTCCTCTCTCAAACCATCGTTCCTCAATTCCCAGGATGTGAACATCTTCATCCCTGAAAGAGTGACCGCTGGCCTGGAGATGAGTGTAGACCGCAGAGTCCTGACCTGATGATGTTGATCTTCTGTGCTGGGCCATCCTTTTGGCCAGTGGCTGTTTAGTTTCCCCGATGTAAGACTGATCAGAGCCCTCCTGACACTGAACAGCATACACAACATTACTCTGTTTGTGCCAGGGGACTGGATTTTTGGGATGAACCAGTCTTTGCTGTAATGTATTTTGGGGTTTAAAAGCCACTGGGACGTTATGTTTAGAAAACGTCTCAGTTTCTCTGATACTCCCTCAACATATGGAATGACCACTGGTCTGGGTCTGGGTTCCTCCTTTTCACCTGTTGGCTGACTGGAGTCCTGTTTGGGTTTCTTCTCTGCTTTCAGGAAGGCCCAGTTAGGATATCCACATTGCTCTAGAGCCTGTCTTGTGTGGGATTTCTCCTTCTGCCTGGCTCCCGAGTTAGTGGGGACGCTGTCTGCTCTGTGATACAGAGTCCTGATGACTCCTAACTTGTGCTCCAAGGGGTGATGGGAGTCAAACTGCAAATACTGGTCTGTGTGGGTGGGTTTGCGGTACACCTCGGTTTGCAAATGTCCTCTTTCAGAGACTGAGACCTCACAGTCCAAGAAAGCCAACTTGCCATTTTTTTTTCATCTTCTCTTGTGAACTTGATGTATTTATCCACAGAGTTGATGTGGTCAGTAAAATGTTGGACTTCCTGAGATTTAATTTTAACCCAGGTGTCGTCAACATACCTGAACCAATGACTTGGTGGTGTCCCTGAAAAGGACGTCAAGGCTCTCTTTTCTACCTCCTCCATGTACAGGTTGGCAACAATAGGAGAAACTGGAGACCCCATAGCACACCCATGTTTCTGCCTATAATATTGCTCCCCATATGTGAAGTAGGTTGACTGCAGGCACAGTTTCAAGAGTTGACACAGTTGTTCTGTGGAAAGTGTGGTCCTGCTG